CGTGTGGGAAGTTGCGCCTGAGTCGGCGCCGACTGTGCGGGCGCTCTTGCGCGTCTGTCGGCGCCGGGGGCGCGCGTCGGAGCAGCGGGGGCGGCAGGGCGGGTTTGGATCCCCCTGCGGCGCGCCTCTCTCTTGTAAACCGCACACCGTCTATCGTTGGCGGTGTGCGGCTTGGCGCAATTTGCACAGGTAGGCTTGTGGTCGCGCGGCCGGTCGCAATCAGCGGCCGCGTGTTCACCGGCGCATCGGACACATTTGATGAGCCGGTGACAGTTGGCCGATGAATGGCCGAATCCCTGGCACCTGTGACATTGTGCCAGGGAGGAAGTTGAGGGCCGCCAGCCCTCGATTGTGACGCCACGCATGAATAAAAGTTCATGCGTGGCATAAAGACGATCCAGCTCGTCCTTGCTCAAGGGATCGAGCTGGGCGTGGAATACGCAGCCTGGGCGGCCGCGGCGGGCCGGTATACCCCGCACTAGGCGGACGGGGTACCCAATTTTTTCGAGGGCGTCCGCTACCGCGTCCGAAGTGGTGTCGGACGGGAGACCCCTTATTGCCACCTTTGTGGGGAGCTCGGAGGCCAGGCTGTAGCAATACCAGCTGATTGCTGGGTCAGCTGCGCCGGCCTCGGTTAGGTATCTTTGTACAAGACGGAACTCCTTGTCCGTCTTGCACAGGAATCGGACGCCCTTGCCGTAGGGGCGGGCGTTGGGCGGCTCACCCAGTGCGCGGGTGAGTGCGGCGAAGTGATCTGTCCACCGCGGCAGACATTCCACAATAATGGGCGGGTATTTGCCCTGCCCAGGCTGCTTATGGTCGATTGCCTCCTTTGTGGTAGCGGGAGGCGTCGGTGGGCGCGGAGCGGGAGCGGCCGCGGCCGCGTCCGCGAATGATTTCGTGGGGGACAATGTCCCCACGGAGCGGACCTGTACGTCGACACTCTCCAGTGCGACGTACGAGGTCTCGTCATCCTTATTGGGATGACCCAGGGCGCCTAAGGCGTCGAAATCCATAACTCGCTCGTCCTCGCTGTCGATAGAGGGGGCAGGCGAGGGCGAGCGGGGGGGTGTGGCGCGCCGTGTATGCGGGCGCGCCTCGCACGGCGCGTTCACCGAGCGAGACGGTCGGTCAGTGTAGCGCGGTGCGGGAGCGAGACGGGGCGACGGCGGTGAGTCGCCTGCGTCTAGCCGCTTCTCTGAAGGTGTTCCCGAGAGAGCGGGCGATGGTGGTGTGCGGCGTTTGGCGGCCGTAGACGGCGTGGCGCCAGACAAGTCGCCGCTCGGCTCGGCGCGTTCCCCTTCCGCAGCGGTTACGTTGCGGTTGGCGAGTGCTAACCTAGCCTCACGGCGGGTGTGAAACGGTCCCAGATCTGTCTCTGGAACCGGTCGGCTACTGCCTGCCTGCCTCGGCACGGCTTGCCGCTGTGGCAGTGGCGCCGGCGCCCTAGGCGCCGACGCGGAAGGAGTGCGGGTCGGCCGTTTGGCCGACTCAAAAGGTTTGCGGGGGGGTTTCCCCTCGCGCTCAGACATTGTTGTCGGTGATGGTGATGGTGATGGTGATGTTGTCCCTACGGTCCCTAACTTAGTAGCCCACGAAGGGCGAAGGGGTCGCTGGACCAACACCGCCCAAGTGGGGACTCAGGCGGTGCCCTCAGTCTCGCCGTGGGTGCACTTGTTCTCCCTGTGAGACGACACCCTACGGTTTGAAAGAGGGGGGTGTGGGGGTTGGAACCCCACGAACGATCCCTACTGCTGGAGGAGGGGGGTGGAGTCGACACGGCCGGGAAGACCGTGCTCTCGACCGTTACCGTGAGTGCACTTGTCCTCCCCGTGAGGCGACACTCTCCGGAACGGCCGAGAGGGGTGCGGGGGGACAGAACCCCCGCGACGACCTACGGTCCCTAAGCCCTACGACTCGACCGTGCCCTGGCGTGTAGCACACAGGTGCCTACACTGGTGCACCCAGGTGCACGGACTATCTCCCCGTCGGCTTGTAGCCCTCAGAAGGGCTGACGGCCTCGAGTTCGTCCTGAGAAGGACGTCCTACTCGGCGGCGGCACGAAGTCACGGAGCACGAAGCTCGCGGGCACGTGTAGGAGGAATCCGACTGTACAATCTTACGATTGCACAGTTGATTCCTCGGCGGTGAGCTGTAGCGGCGGCTGTGGCGTCCCACGGCGCTCGGCGGCAGCTCTGGAGGGCTCTCGAAGGCGCAGGAGTCACGACGTGCTGGGGAAGACGCTACTCGGAGTCTCGACGGTCGCCCGGAGTACTCACGAGAAGGATCACGCACGAACACGACGGTCTCACTGCAGGCACGGGAGCTCGGCGGATCAAAGTTATATGATACTAACTATTCATAGTTGAGGGGGGGGGGGGGGGAGATTGTTATTAATGGGATCTAACAATTACATTGCTGGCAATGTACTCTGTCAGGTCGACGTCCACGCGGTTTTCCCTGGAAACTGTTGTAGTTAATTCTCACGAAATTCTTCACGATGGTGTCTAACTGACCTGCTTTCACCCTCATATATCACCTCCCACTGGTGACCTGCCAGCATATACCGATAACGCAGGCAAGGTGACCATTCCATTTTCACCCATTATAAAAAAAAAAAAAAACGATTCATAATTCGTGGCAATAGTTCGTGAATGAAAAAAGCGAGCCTTCCGCGCGAGTTACGTTCGTGTGAATTGTGAAATAACTCGTAACACTTTCTTTAGGAGGTTACTCACTCGACCTATGTCGCGCACTGCTTTACCAAAACAGTAAATTATATCATAGACTTGTTCTGTAAATGTTATTGTATTTTCTAGTAGGTATTTAATGCCGCAGAGTCTCAACTCTCTTCATTTTATCATGCAACTTTTAGTGCCGGTGCTGTCAGCTGGACGCTTGATAAAATATATCGACCGGCGTGTATTGAAATGTCCACGATATTTCGTCTAAACTAATGTTATAAAGAGGTTTTTGTGTTTAAACTCAAAAAATACTCAAGTGATTTTAAAAATTCTTTCACCTATAGAATGCTACGTTGTCGCCGTGTAACATGGGCTGTATTGTATTTTTTTTTCATGGCTGACAATGGAATGGTAACCCCGTCTGCGTTATTGGTATACACCGGCGGGGCTCCTGTGAAGGATGACAGGTGAGGATGATGTAGGTCAGTTAGCACATCGTGATGAATTCAACAATAATTGTTTACGATGGTTTCCAGGGGGAACCACGTGGAGGTCGACCTAATAGGGCATATTGCTAGCAATGGGGCTGTTAAACTCCATTGCTAACAATCCCTTCCCCCCGGCTGTATTGTATTTTCTCTACCCTGGCGAAGCCAGGGCGGATCGTTAGTTAGTAATAAAAGTACCATTAAAAAAACCTATGACAGGTTTTTTTTAATGGATGATAATGGAATGGTGACCCCGGCTGCGCTATTGGTATACACTAGCGGGGCACCAGTGAGGGATGATAGGTGAATATGAAGCAAGTTCAAACAGGTCTGTTAGCCCATCGTGACAAATTCACCAATGAACTTTCACGATAGTTTCCAGGGGGAACCGCAAGGAGGGCGACTGTTTGCTAGTAATAGAGTTGCTAATCCCTATTAGTAACAATCCCTTAAGTAGTAATAGGTTAGTTAAGTAATGATAAATTATAAGTTATTATTACATTGAATATTTTAATTTAATAATAAACATGATGTCCTGTTATTGTTTCCTCCCACGAACGCTCAGTAATGGCATAATGTTATGCCAGTAATGCCCGGTATTGCAGGTGTTCATAGGCGACGGTGATCGATTATCATCAGGCGAGTCGTATGCTCGCTTGCTTGCAACCTCAGTGATATAACAATATAAAGATTTATTTACATGTCCGTGAGTTCATTGCAATAATAAAATATACAATAATTCAGTTCGATGTATCTACATATATCGTAAGTAATTACTGCATAGTACAATAAAATCGTTTTTCATTGTATGTACATATATGTTTGTAAACATTTCGTACAGGTTTATATGAAATGAATTAATAATTGTATAATATTTGAGATGTGACTAGAGGCCATCTCTGCGTACTTCCTAGCAATTATATTCGGTGGGCGTTTGTTTATGTAGAGCGCGACGAGCGCCGGCAGCGGGCCACTATCCACTGTCCACTGTCCACTGGCCGCCGCGCCGTCTCACGTCGCCGATCTGTCTGTCCACACCACACCGGGCGCCGGGCGCCGGGACACCCGCATGCTGCCACCTGCGCCACCGACGGCAAACACTTCACTGACATTCATAATAAACTGTGTTGCCTTCTCGCGTCGCAAATATATTAACGGGTAGGTAATAAATAAATGGGACAAATATTTGTGTCACTGAATTCATATTAAGTATGAAAAGTTAATGTGATGGCCATGAGACAGGAGTCTGGAACGATTCACTGGAGATCGGGGGCGGGAGTGCGGCCGGCGGCGCGAGGGATCGAGTGTGGCGCCGCGGGTGCGCGGGGTGCGCGGGGTGCGCGGGGTGCGCGGGGTGCGCGGGGCGGGGACTGGAGCCAGGAGGCAGCCTCCGCGCAACGAGCGGCGCATCTCGCTCCCTCAGGGTTGCCACCATCTGATTTAACGCTAATCCGTCGGTGACACCCATCCACTGATAATATTATTATAATAACACGGTAACAAGTTTGAATAATTAAGATAAGAAAGATGCGCTTACGTCTCGCGAAGACTTACTGATCTACTTACGACGTATTAAAACATCGATTAAACTAGGGTAGGTAATGTATACACTGCGCTCATATTACTGTAGGTATACTGAAACAGATTCAGCATTTTTTACCTCATAAAAACCCAGTTTGCGCAAGTGTACCTATTAAAGTGTAACTAATTGTTAGCAGCGATGACTGTTAACATACCTAATTTATTTACCTTAAATCGCACATTAAAAATAGAAAAGGAACAGTCAGATTGAAGCAATTTAAAATGGAAACACCGCCGCTGATAGACGGCAGTAATTGACAGCAGCGCAGCGAGCGAGGCATTTCACGATAGTCGCGCTCACACCGCGCTGATATACGCTCGTGTCGCGGTGTCGCTCCACCCGCTCTCGCCGACTGTGCCGTAACGTGTGCCGCGACCAGTCACCGCCGTCGCCGCTACAGCCACCGCCACCGCCACCACGCGACGGCCGGGAGCCCGCGCCGCCACCGCAACCAGTCCCGCGGCATGTGCAGCTGACAGGACGCCCGCGTACTTCATTCGATCCCGAACCGGCGGTCGCTGTGCCTCAAACACTCCGCCGAACCGCGACACACACGCAGGTGACTGATACCACCACATCATCATCAAAGTGCATCATCCCCGACACGGCCCGCATAGGTCCCTCGTTCAACGTTCGTCGCGTGTTGCTCTTATCAAGAATCGAGTTAAAATATTTGTGACGAAAAGAAAGTACATATCGTAACGTATCGGTTGTGTGGTGTCGCTGATGTGCCAATAAATTATCGCTCCCACTGCGACGGCGGCGAGAGTACAGCGGCGGCGGCGTCGGGGCCGGCGCTGCTGCCGGCACCTGGCCCGCGCTCGGACCGCCCGCTCGCGGCCCTCAGGTAGTCAAACATTCGATAAGCATTATAAATACGATGCGTCAACAATGCTCCGTTTCGTGCCTCATGCTCTTAACTATTTGTTGAACCAATTTTTTTTTTTACTAAGAAAGGCCGTATCATATGGCTCGTATGTAAGTCACGGTCGTCTTCCAATTCTATCTTACTAATTATTTTATTATCATTAGTTCAAGTAAATATTTAGTGAATTTGAAACAACTGTAAATAATACAAAATATTTATAATTTCTATTTTAAATTATAATATATTTTTGAAATAGTAATGTTTCACTAGAATATATGTGACTGTACGTGTATGTTCTGGGATTATTTTTTACAAAAGCTCCTGTATCAGTATGTGAGAACAAAAACAGGTCAAATTGAAATAGACGAATTGATATCAGTATAATGAATGCCCCTGAAATAGCACCAGCATACCTACAAGTCAATCGCTCTCCGGACCTGGAGTGACAGGTGAAACGATTATTTTAAACATTAATTATGTACCTATACGATCGCGCCTTTGCCTTAGTTAAAAGTATCTTGTCTCGCATTATCTATGTACGAGTATATAGTCCATTTGAGTACTAATTTTGAGGTCTCGGAACAACATTGAAAGTAAGAAATATCGCGATGAAAAATCAGATTGTTTATTTAATTAATGATTTTAAATTAATTTTGTGCTTATGTAAATTTGTTTATAATGAAATTAAGTAAAAAATTAATATCGCCGCAGTTATAGAAATCGTAATTAAACAACTGCCGTGAGAGATGGAAGTTTAGAATCCGAGTTCCTATAGTTTGCAGATGGTTCGTTCATATAATGCAGGCGAATTTGATCATCGTAGTCGTAAACAATATCCTAGGAACTTGATGTTGACTAATTGTTTTTTAGCGTTCTTTTACACTACCGCTTGCAGTCTGTAGAAATCTCGTCCAATTAAAAAAGTTAACATATATTCATAAACACTTTTTTTTCCACCACAATAAATTATTTTGCCAATCTGGAGCAGCGGCGATTTTTTACCGCACATTTTTCCAGTTTCCAGACACTTTTATAAACTTCCAGGTATCACCGGATCGATATGATATAGAAACATCATTGAAAAGAGTTAATTTCTTAAAAAAAAAAACCATTACTCGTGTAAATCAACTTTTTAGAAAATGTATTTAATTTTATTGTGCTGCCCATTCTTTTCACTTGAAATTGTATTTCGAATCGGGCGATAGAATGATAAAAAAATACTATTGGAAAATGTTTAAATTAAAGTTGATATATAATAAATAAAAATATATCTCTATTCTAAGTGTTCGCCCGACATATACGTATCGCCTTTGGTTTGCAGCTGGCGCGGCGCTAGTGACTTGTGCGGTTGCGGTGCTTCGATAGTTAACCACTGTGTTCCACAAAGAAACCGACTTGAATTTGGCAAAATCGGTTATTTTGATTTCAATACTAAACTATTGATACGATTTTGATTAAACTTCTATGGGGCCAATTTGTAAATATATCTTTTCTAATAAAAAAATAATTATTCAAATCCGTTTAGAACTGGCGGAGGTATGAGGTAATAAACAAACAAAAAAAAAAATACAACCGAATTGAATCCTTTGTTTGGAAGTCAATTGAAAATATGGTTTAAGTTTTACTTGCCTCCTGCAATTCGAGTCGACTTTACACTTGTTGTCAGAAATGATAATTCAATTCAGAATCCCTTAATTTGTGTGAGCGCGTTCAATACTTGCTTGCTTCATCAATCCTCCAGTATATATATATATATATATGTATGTATGTACGTGTATATATTCATTGTTTATCGAGCTAATTTCCAAGCTCTTTTACCAGTTTGACGTAAAAATGAATCAATATTGTTTTGGCATTTATGTTTGAACTCTGCCTTTGAGTATTTGGCTGCTGCTGAGGTGATTTGAATTTGTTTCCACTGTAGATTAAGTTGTGGTCATTCAATCTGTCAATACACTTACTTATTCAGTAAGGCGCATATGTCGTAGATACTGCGTGCAGTAGAGTGATGTCAAGTTACATATACTTAAAACAATCAGGTTCAAAATATCTGTAAAATAATAAGTACTTTTATTTGTTTTCGTCAATATATAGCGACATATTTTAACGTAGTTGTGCTCTCGACCTCACAGCTTTAACACAAAGCTTCGGCTTACACTTTTCTGTTTATACTTAGTTACTCAATTTACCTTTTAATTTTCATATAAGACAAGAGATGTCTTTAAAAAAAGTCTCGTTACTATACTACGAGTACTTACCATCTTTTTAATTTTTTTTATCCATGTGCCAACGAGCATGGGGCTCTCCTGATGTTAAGTGACTATCGCCACCCAACAGATATCCGCAAATTTAACTGTCAAATTAAGGTTGCGTGGAGGTTTCTTAATAATTATCGCATGCCTCCCTGCCGTATAATATAATACGTGAATACTGTAACTGTTATGTAATGTGTACTATAAAATTATTTCAGTTTAGCTATTAAGTAAGTTATGCTCACTAAAATGTCCTGACAAGTGGCAGAGTGATGGGCCAGGCTGTTGAGTCCCCTAAAATCTGGTTGAGCACAATGATGGCTGGCTCATCCATCATATGGTACTCGTGACCGACTGGTCTGCTCTGGGCGCTGCGACTGATTCAATTTATACATGTATTATAATGTGATTTAAATGCTAATATTTTATGTTTACGACCCGGTACTGCTTAGTAGTTTGTATTCACACAACTTCATAATTTATAAAAAATTTAAAATTATTATTATTTATTTATTTCAAAAATAACAATTTAATCCCTTTGCTAATTTTCAAATTGTCTAAATGTAGTGATGTTTTACAACAATCTGTCCAGCCGTGTGCACGAACCAATACTCGTAGTTTAATATACAAATCGATAAATACATACGAAGAGAAAAAATACTATCGCTTTCGGTTCACTATGACGTGAACTATATCCATAAAGTACATTTCTAAAAATATTTAATATACTGGGTTCGCTTTGTTATGATTTTATTATATAAAGAAAGAAAGAACTCGGTGGCAAAGAAATAATAATAATACTCGCTTTACCTGCCTAATATGTTGCTAGTCACAAGAAAATTACCGTCAACGATACATTCAGACGGGGCTACGACTCCATTCCCACTCAGCAACAGTTAACCCAACGTGACAAATTCCACTACAATGCACCAAGATACTATACAGAATACTATTTTTTTATGCAACTTAAAATGGCAAAAAAACTGACGGCCCACCTGATGGAAAGTGGTAACTGTCGCCTATAGACATGACATGAGCAGTACCATGGACACAACAAAGTATACTGTTTCGCCCATGATACCCCTCCCCCCACGCGTTACAATTTCTGAGGACTCGGGCGTTATTCCTCTGTAGCATGTAAATTCACTGCCATATCCCACCCTTTATTTAAACCGAAACACAGCCATGCAAACACAACTACTTCATGGGTCTCCCTCTGGTAATATTATATTATATTAATATAAATACTGATTTTGATAAAAACTGTTATAGCGCAGTAGTAAGGTACACAAGTATATACAAATATTTAATAGGTAACTGCGTCTTAGCAATTCGTTTACTTTTTATACTCATTATTGTATTCTATTGAATAGAGAAAGTTGATAGAAAAACACTAAGATATATATCGCGTTGCTATTTCACACAATCCGGCGCGTGGCTGCCGTCCGGCAGCTGTCCCACTGCCGGATTGTGCGGAAAAACCAAAGGCGCGTAGAAATTTTGTTAACAGGGTTTTACTTCGCAAAAAGAAAACATACTTTGTTTTTAAAAAGACTGATGGCCGACAAGGAGTTTTATACATACATTACGTACATTGATAATACAATATTTGGATTTAGAATGTGGAATCGTTTGTCTACAAGTAGATACCACTTAGATATTTTGTAAATAGTACTTCAGAGTTTTTTGAAAAGCACGCGTTCCTGCACAGAAAATAAAAACATACAGCTTGAATATAGATTGTAGAAAAAATTAAAAAGAGTTCAGAATTGGTGAATCGCGTATAACGTAACCACAAAAAAAAATTACAGAAATGTAGACAAATAACGTGTCCTCTTGGAAGTACAAAGTGGTAGGTAGATGTATGTACGGTATGATGAACGTGTACGTGTGTGTGCCAGCGATACAGGCACATGTGCGAGTACCTTCGTTCAGAGTTCAAACATGTGGATTGCGGACGTAAATTATTTGCGTAACTGCACGCGCTTCTTCTTGCTTATATACCTAGAAGGCATACAAAATTCTGCCCGTTTATAGAATAATCTACATAACATTAAAATTTTTAACTTTAATCAGATGTCTAGAGCATAATATAGCGTGTTGGGTAGGCGGGCACCTACATAACATGGCACGCATTATTTTATTTTTTTATGGGTGATAAAGAAATGGTAACCCCAACCGCTCTATCGGTATACACCGTCGGGGCACCAGTGAGGGATGATAGGTGAGGATGAAGAGGGTCGTGACGACAGCAGTGACGAATTCAATAAAAATTGTTCACGCTGGTTTCCAGAGGGAACCACGTGGAGGTCGACCTAATTGGGCATATTGCTAGCAATGGGGCTGTCAAACTCCATTGCTAACAACCTCTTTTCCCCTGGCATGCATTATTATACGGAGTGTCTTTTTATTGCTGTGTGACAATGGAATGGCAACCCC